CCTTTAGAATGCTACTCCTCCTACAGTTTTGGTGATTTCAATATAACTTGTCACACAAGTAGACTACACTATGATACATAATTCAGTGCAGCAGTTATTGATTTTGGTGAACGGTGTTGCCATGTTTACTAAAAATAGAATTGTCTATGAAATTCCTTTAAAAAACGCTACTCCTCCTACAATTTAAGTATGATTTCAATATAATTAGGCACACAAGACTACTCTAAGATACATAATTCTATTTTATGCTGTCTGTTGCCAAGTTTCAAATCCAATTGCTTCTTTTCCTTTGTTATACACAGAGACCAAACAGGCATACATTGATGTCGGATTAAACAGAATGGATGTTAAAGAGAGATGGAAATACAAAAACCTGGGTTCCCACTGCATGTTATTTCCGCTCTTTGCTATTGCAGTCTGTCGTGTACCTGTATGGACATAGGGGACTATATTTTCTGATCCAAGCACGATAACTCTTCTAGGAAAAGTGGGCGTTTTCCTCGAGATCATAGATCAGTTACTAACTAGACCTGTTCTGAATTTTCTGGGGTCTATTTTTTTGTATACCTGATTACCAGGTTTTGCTGATAACAGACAAAATTTTAACAGTATTTTGGGTTTTCTAAGATTTAATTTTTTGACATTAATTTAATAGTTGTTTACTAGTATAACCCGAATTTCATAAATTACTTTTATATATCTTGCCAAAGTTAGCTTACCATTGGGGGGGGGATGCAAAAATAACGAAACTACAGTAATTGAATAATTGCCTGACATCATATGGGAAAAAGATAAATTTTGTGATATTTTACTTTTACAGACATTTCAGTGGTACACAGACCACACACTATACTTGGCAGGTCTATGGGTCTTCAGCCAGTACAGCTGAAATAGAGAACTCCACTGAAGAGTGGATTATCAGGCTGACTAAAAAACAAAGAAGAACAAACATGTGGCCCAAAAACTAACAACTTTATTAGCATGATGCCCATTAATTTTTAACACAACAATTTCTTTAAGATTTACATGATAATATTTTAGCACATGATTAATTTCAATAATTTACTGCACAAGATACAAAATTATACAAACAATAACACAGACACATTCCATATGTCACTCAAACAGTTGCTTCCTAATGCAACTGAGACGTCAATGCTGATAAAAATTGTATTTTTTTATTTTAGCAAGAATATACAAGTTTTAAACAGGAGGAAGTTTTCTGTACATTTATATTCTTACAATGTATCAACTAACTGGGAACTTAAGATCCAAAAAGCTGAGAAAGAAATAAATCATACGCAGGTAAACAGTAAAAAGAGAGGTAGTATAAATTGTTGTTATAAATTACAAGCAAAATGAATTTAGAAATACCTTTGGACCATTCGAGTCAGAGAATGTGCTGTATCTAAGATATGGATTGCACAAAGTACACATACAGTATTTTGTATTTTTGTTAAATAACAATTTGTTTTTTGTCAAATCTAAGGATTACAAAAGGAAGAGGTTCTCCATTCAACAATACCATTTTCCCAGAGAATGAAAATAAATAAATTTAAGTAAACCAATACTGTTAAGTACTACAGTTCAATATCACTACATTTCACACAGATATCTTCCTATCATTCTAAGCATTGTTCTCTCTGAAAGAACCTGAGGATTTATAATGGTAAAGCAACCCTTTTTCACTTTTCTGTCAATTTCAGTTCCAATGCAACCCAGTTTCTTTTGGGGCCTTTCCCTGCTTACATTAACTGTTTACAAAAACTGTAGCAGATTTTCAACTGTTTACAGAAATTGTGCAAATTTTTCTATTGAATACAGAAATTGTGTCCATTTTTTTCTACTGTTTCAGAAACTGTGTCAGTTTTTAACTTTATACAGTATCTGTGTCAGATATTTCAAAAGTACACAGAAACCTTGGCAATTTTTCAACTGTATAAGGAAACTGTTGCATTTTTGTTTAGCTGTTTACAGAAACTGTGTGACAGTTTCTTAAGTGTACACAGAAACTGTAGCTGATTTTCAACTGTTTACAGAAACTGTGGCTGTTTTTCAACTATTTACAGACACTGTGGCTGATTTTAACTGTTTACAATAGCTGTGATTCTATTTTACAGGAATCAGCTACATCTTGGTTCTTTTCGAGCATCTTCTTTAACTCGCCACTGCATCAACTCCATACAGGAAATGGCATCCTCCTGACTGTCATGGCCTCCAACTGTAACACAGAAAAACTACGAAATCAACATTTGTAAATTAAAACATTTTTGAATGTATGTGTAGATAAATTGAAATAAAGTACACTGAATTTAAATTTCAAACAAAACATATCTAAAACAATAAATTTGACATCCAGTGTATTTGACTTTTTACATTCAAATAAATTTACTTTAAATATTACTGGTTCTTGTTACAATCATAACAGACTTACCATCATCTTGGATAATTTTCTTCATATATTCTGCCATCAGTGTTTTAAGGGCCCTTTTATAGGGGGGTCCAAGACGATGGGGGAATACTACTGATGTATCTACCACTGTGTCATGTATAATCTAAAAATAAATGAAACACCTACATAGTATCTCAACACTACAAAGAAGAGATAAAGTATGAGAAATAATGACCTTGACTTGATGACAAGTAACACTGACCTTGACAGCTGCCAGGTCACTCTCCAGGCTGTGACCAATCAGAATGGTTTTCTCTGTGAACAGACTGAGCAGCACGGCCTGGACATCTCTGATGGTTGTCGTGACACCCACCATGTCTTCCTTGGTGATCCCACTAAACCTGTCAATCAAAGATAACTCTATCAAAACATGATTTAGGGTCAACCTTTATACAATCCAAAGGTAACTCAAGTACAGTAAAACTTGGATAAAACAAATGATAACTAAACAGAGCTCAAGGGATATGGGCAGTATATCATATATTTAATGTAATGATTTGTTAATCCATCTACAAAATCATTTTAAAACATGCAAAAAAAACCTCTTCTGCATGAAATCAAAGTAAATTATAATTCCTTTTCCTATCAAGTTAACTTTTTACTAAATGAATGAAAATTTATTTTTCCCCTTGTATTGAATATAGCCTTTGCTCTAACCAGATGGCAAACATCAGCTTAAACTTTCCTGCAAGTTAATACACCTATAAGTGATTATTGATTAGTACCTTGTGTTGTAATCTATAATTTTTCTGTCTGGTCTCACCAAGGTCTCGTACACCGAGTTGTTCTCACAGTCTGTCACAGTAACTCGAGCGAGCTCCACACCACCCTGAGTGTACACCTACAACCAAGAATATTTGTACAATTTTACAATAAAATATTTACATCATATTCATGAATCATAAATAACTGAACTCTTCATTGACATCAGGGACTCACCATTTCACAGTCCATGGCATACACTCCGTAATCTCCATCAGGTGTGGGGGAACATGGGAGGGTCCTCATATATCCCGTACGGTTCTCCCACTTATTGGTCTCATGGACATGGCACTGCAACAAATACTTCCAGTATCATTTACACAGGTAAATGTAGGAAATAAAGTGGTCGTAATAATTCAAATTTATATTTTATCAATTTTTTGTTCTTCAAAATGAGGGACTGATAAAGAATTGCATGAAAAGTCCTAGAGTCTTCAGGTAAATAAAAGTTATATACTTTTGAAAAAAATACTTTACAGTACCTTAGCAATTTGACAACCCTCTGTCCCTAAATCTCCTTGACAGCAAGTATATCTAGTTTCAATGTACCCAGCAACTGAAAAGATAAATTACACCAATTAAATTTTGTTTTATACCCTGACATTTAGTTACACAAAATAATGTAGTCATTCTATTTTACAGATGGTCATATCAACACTGCCTTTATATAACACCACTCACTTTTCTTTTTCCAAGCTTTCCCCCAGTGGTAACTACACTCCTCCTGATGTGCATAAGTCCCATTAGGAAACACCATGAATCGCTTTCCACATCGCACACAAATTTTCTCATATGCTGGAAAAAAAAAAGTAAAATTTCATGGAAATCATTGGTGTCAAAATTTTGATCATAAAAAATGTGATTGTAACATATACACATATGTTTAGGAAACAGAGACAAGTTTTCTTTTTTCTATGTTATTCTTAGACTGTACCAGATTTTGTTTACTTACTTTTAAGTTTGGCACTGTTCTGTTCCTGCTGACTGACTGTGTATATTTTGGCTACTGAGCTGTTCTCACTATCTGGTCGAGGGAATCCATTCTCCTGAAGCTGTTCCTCTGTCATGATGTACCTGGCAAGTCTGTTATAAAGTTCACTCCCTGAAAAATTAAACTCGTAGAGTCATGAATCTGGATAATCATACAGTAAGTAAAAAGAAGTCTCTTATGAGACTGTAGCATAGGGCAAGCTCAATTCATAACTGTAACATTTTTCATTTCTCACAAAAAATGAAAACATTTTCTCCAAATACATGATCTTCAGTGGTACATGTATCTTCTTTCTTTAGTAAATATTGTTTCATTTAAAATATAAAAACATATGCAATTTTGTAAAAACAGCATTTTAAATCCAAGAAAACTCAGCTCAATAAAGTTAATTATGCTTATAGTAATGTGATCTATTTTTGTACTACTGAAATCATATCAGACTAAGAATAATAATTTCTAGGATTATATCCAAGAAGCTAAAGACAAGCACAATTAAAACAGACAAAACCAATAAGCTATGTAATCAGTAATGCAAAAATGGTGACTTTATGGAGTAACATTTCTTTTCCAATAAGTAACGTAAAGCGTACCTTTGAAGTTTTCTATGGGTCCCTTTGTTGAGCCCCCGGACCTGTTGAGGGTGTAGGTCGTCCTGGTTGCATTTTTACCTCCTAACACCGCTTCATGAGACATCTTCAGAGGGGACGTGGGTTTTGTTGGAGAGGCTGTTAGTTCTGCAGCCTCTGTTCGGAGCCTTTTGATTGTGTTACACGCAACGTTAAGGTAGACAGTTTTGTTACTGGCTCTTTTATACACTGTAAGTTCTTCCTCTAAACCCTGTCAGTGACATAAAAAAAGGTATATTGTACAGTATTCTTAGTGTTTGTACTAATCGGAAACTTAGCATATACAAATACAAAAACAAAGACCTTTGCGTTCAATCTTCACACACACAAGCACTACAAGTGAAAAAGCATACTGTATATTCTAATTCTAAAATAAATAATAAATACCCTTTTAAAAGCATCCTCTTCATTATCATAGAGAGGCAAGCATTCATCAATGATAGAGTTGAGATATCGCTGTCTCACGCTGATCGGGACCTTGCTCCCATATTCTGCTGGAATTGTGGGTCGCTTTATATTCTTCTGCAAGTACAAGGTTTTAATCTTAGATCAGTAATCACTTTCTCTCTCTTTACAGAAAGAGAGAGAAAATGATAGAGAAATGTGTATTTATCACCCTCAAATCCATGATTCTTCTGTTTTTATTTGATATTATGCTAACTTACCACATTAGGTACATGAGCTGTGCGTTTTTGAGTTTTGGATGCCGTGGCGATGACGGTTTTTCCGTCCACTACTTTGGTCCCCTCTCTTCCATTCTTTACTTTCTGGTTTACGATACTTTGATGAGCAACCCTAAGTTTTCCAGATGATGATGTTGAAGCTTCCTGCTGTGGTAGAATGCAATCAAAAATTGACATATCAAAAGGATTTCGATCATATTGTCTATAATTTTACAACCAAATTCTATGGGTAAGCATTCGAAGTTTCTGCTTTTGTGTATTGAAATTGAAGAAACCTGCAGAATAAGGTATAGGATCAATTCACTAACATTTCAAACATCTACCTTATTGGACAATCTATAACTCTGTAAATTAAGATATTAAATATTGAACTTACAGATCTCCCAGCCTCTTCCTGGGCCTGTTTCTGCATCATAACAAATCTGTTGTGCATGATCTGAGCTGGGGACAACTTTGTATGAGGTTTCTCAGGAATCTTTCTTGTCACCTGTAAATCAATAATCAATAAGTTACACTAGATATACCATATTCCACATTTTCAAAGATGAACAAAATGAATTCAGCGATGAGTGTGATACAGATGTCACATACCTCTCTGCTTCCTTTGTGGGCAGTCCTCTTCTTTCCTGGGATGGATACACTCTCAGACTGCTCTGCTTCACTGATACTCTGAAAATTGATCCAAAAAATAACCATACCTACACATAGTGGATTGGTGTACACTGTACTTCAAATTTTAACATTTGTGACAACTGACAGATACAGTTAACATCACATAATAGTCTTCTTCATTTAACATAAGTCTTTTTTATCAGTCTTTTTTTAAAGTTCAGCTCTATTTCTCTAAATGTCTACAAGTCTTTACTTTAACATGATCAAATAACTCCCAGCAATGCCTATTTACCCTTTCAGTCCGGCTTTTTTTCTTGGGTGATGGTTTGGAGACGTTACTTTCATTATAAATCCTCAGACACTCCTCGTATGGATCCTCTTCCTCCTCATCACTGATCAGAGGAGGAATGCTGTCCTCTTCATCGCTGTCCATACCAAACAAGTCTAAGTTTATATCCACAATCTTCCTCTTAGATCCATTACTGTCAAGTGAAACCGACCTATCCCTCTTCTTACTCTCTCCTTTCACAGAGTCCTTAGAAGTCTCCTTTGAACTTTTTGATCTTGATTCATGTTTACTGTGCCCACTAGATTCATGTTTACTGTGCCCACTAGATTCATGTTTACTTTGCCCACTGGATTCATTTTTACTGTGCCCACTAGATTCACATTTTTTATGTGACTTCCCAGATTGTTCTTTCTTTTTATCTGCAGAATGTTTATGATGGTCTTGCTTATTTGAACTTTTATCATGAGCTGAATGTTTACTGTGTTCATGTTTTTGTTTTGAGGAGGAGGAGGAGGAGGAGGTGTGCTTTT